TATATAGAGACTATTTCCGATTAATTTTAATAATTCTTAAGTGGTCCTTCATTTATTGGGGGGCACTGTATAATATAATATACTATTTTATTAAATATTTATAATATTTAAATTAATAATTTTCTAAAATTTTTTTATAATATTAATATATCATATAATATATAATAGGATATATTTATTATCATTATATTTTGATGAAATACTGTATAATGAATTTTTAAAAAAGCAAATTAATTTAATTTTGTTAAAAAAAGGTGGGTTTTTAAAATAAAATATTTATTATTAAAATAATTTTTTTGATTTTAATAAGTTTAATTAAATATCATATTTTGTTATAGCTCAAGTTTTTACAAACAAACTTTTAAAATTGGTTAAAAATTAAATTTTAAAAAAGAATTTTTGTTTTTATTAATGATATCAGAAGAAAACTTAACAAATTATTTTTTTGTCTTATTTAAAAAAAAAAAAGATTTTTTTTTATAAAAATTCATATTTATTTATTAAATTGTTAATTAAAAAATAATTATATAAAAAATTATCATTATACTGTAACTGTGTTATATATGCACATTATTTTATGAAACAATTGATTTTGTTTTTAATTGATAAAAATTTTTGGTAAATTTAAAAAGAAAAAGTTCAAGACACATTTAAACATATATGATTCTTTTATAAGAACATAAAAAAGAATTAGCACTTTCTGAACAGACCTAAATATCAATTACTAATTCAATTTCTTTTCAAAAAAAAAATACAATTTATAAGTTATAGTAAGATTAATCCACTTTAACCTTGCAAACTGTCAACCAGTTACTTTAGCAACTCCCAAAATTAGCAAGAATACTTTATATATTCTTCGATGTCGAGATTATTTTATCATGTGTCTTTGCTTACGTTATTATCACGTGCAATGACACTTACCAGAAATATTATTCCGATAGATTATCTCCGTGGGAACTTTGCAACGACTATTCCAAATGAATGTAAACATGTCATAATGTCAAGAAAAAAAAGGCAACGCATAACAAAGCTTGTAAATACAAGCTCGACAGTTACAAGTTCCAATATTTGATAGGACTCCCAGCGAGCAGGCTGGGTAAGCTTGGAAGAGAACCGAGTGATCGCACTGCTATCTTGAGAATCAACTACACGAATAAAATTTCGATGACGAACTTTAGAGGAATGTTTGTTGCAATTAATTAAATTTGTTTGTTTCTTTGGACAAAAAAGTAAAGATTAGGGGAACACTGAACGATGATCTTGAACTAATTTTTTCGTTTTATATCTAGATAATGGTCGCGTGAACATTTCATAAGGCAGATTACCACTGATAACGTGCATTCAGTAAAATTACAAAATATTTCTCGGTGAATAAGAATGAGACAATGTGCAGCTCTTTAAAAATCTTCGGTCGCGTGAGAGACATAGGCGGTAATTGCGGAGGCGATCCCGTATGTTTCTAAAACACATGTCTCGCTTTACAATAGGATCTTGATAAAAAAGAAAGAAAGAAAGTTATGTTCGTACACTTTTTTTTAAAAAAAAGTATTATTGGAAATGCACGACGGATAATTATCCTTTGATTGGTACGATTGTTTAACGAACAAAAAAAAAAATAAAAATAAATAAATGAATAAATAAAATTCACCGATCCATATTGCGTATATATAAAGAAGATTCAACGGTTTGTGGAGGTTCTTTGTAGACGGGTCGCTATCGCTTTTTAATTCTCACACGTACTTCAGGATCAAATCGAATTCGTAAATGATATCACGAACATTATAGATTCAATTGTTCATTCGTCAAACTGATTACCAATGACTACCGAACCGATGAGTTTTCTTCGACACGAAGGTAAAATATTTATTTACTTAAAGGGCATAATAATACATCTACAAAAATACATACATATGTGCATAAATATAAAAATCTCATAGTATAGGTACTAATATTACCGACACCATCCATACATATATAAATCTTAAAACATAGGTTTGTGAACCCTCATCCTTAAGGGAATAACGAAACCTCGTCTCCCTCTTCACATCATAGTTTCGCCGTGACATAATATTTTTAATTGTTCCTCCCTTTCGCTTTTTTTTTTTTTTTTTTTCGTCCGTCACATTTCGTCGTTGTTTTTGGACGAAAAAAAAAAAAAGCATTTCCATTTTCGGTTCGACAATCGTTATTGATAGGCATTCGTTGCCATCGATTTAAAAGATTCTCCACCCTCATTTTTATGAATAAATATGTAGTGATGATAAGTTTTTTTGCGCGGGAAGTTAGTTAATAAAAAAAAAGAGGTTCATGATTTGTAGTAAGAAAAGTGATCTCTGTCCGCAAAGTTTTCTTAATTTCCTGTGAAATTCACAGAAGTTACAACCTCCCCCAGTCGGAAGAAGACTTTTCCATCTGCGGGAGAGGTGGTTACTCGTTCGGCAGCCACAAGAACTCTGCACGTGTTGTGGCTGTCATGGCGTGTCATGAAGGGATGCGATGTTTGCACGTCGACAGAAATATTTACGAACAATGGGAACTAAATAAAATTGAAAAAGAAATAAATCTGAGCACCGAAAAAAATAGAAAAATACCAAGTAATGAAACAGAAAACCGGTTATAACTCTTACCCTCTTGGCAAAGGACTCATAGCTTTCCGGCATCACAATCTCGTCACCGATCATATGAAGTGAGTAAACGTGACCGGCTCTAATGCTGATTAGCACTCTTGATAAACCATTGAGCGCAAATGAAACTACGTATAATATCATCCACTCGTTAGTTATTTGCGATATCATAGACAAAATTAGCATTGCATGCTCACCTTCTTTCAACTTGTGCATGATTCCATCGGTTGCATCTTGCGGAGATTCCTCTAATATGGGCATGGAATCACTGTTGTGGAATAATTTTTCAATGAGCCATTGCTCAGTAATTTGGAAGATACGAATAATGCTCTGAGATGCTTGCTGCATGTGAGCGTCATGGTGCGGTATCTGTGCATTTGAGAGGAATTGATGCAAATCTCGTTATCAAACCTAACCAATAGCCATAATAAGATTGCGCAGTTTACGTATATATTGCGTACCACATATGACCCGGCCCCATCGAAATAAAGCATTCTACTGAAGCTATCTACCGAACTATAACCATCATTTGTTGAGAGGTCATCGAGGAAACACTTTAAGTATGGATTACTGATAAGCGCGTCAACGTTGTACGGCGGAATGTTGTGATCCAGGTAGTCGCTTTCTGCATCAGCCAAATAATGATTCCTGTTGATGCGTGATGATTCACCGTCCACCGACATAAAATTTTCTACAAGCAAAAAAGACAAAGCAGAAAAACGGAGTTTAATACATGCGAATGGGTGAATTCGTTTGTCCTTGGAAAAAAAAACCCCCAAATGGAATAGAAACTGCGGATAGGTAGTTGACAAGCAAATTGAGAATGAGACGTAACAGAAAAAGGTATGGACGACAGGTGCACAGCAGGTCATCAGATAACTTAAGGAAGTCATCTGCAAATCGAAAAACAAAAGAAACCAAAAAATGCAAAAAATGAAAAAAATAGACAATTACCGGAATTCAACGACATCCGGTTAAAGAAATTGGAGAGATTGGATAAAAGGATAGAGTCCATCTTTGATGACATTAGGTGCACGTTGTTTTGATCAAAAATATCGTAAAAAGCCAAGGAAGAAGGGTCGTTCTTCTGAGAGATGTGAAATATGCGGGAATCAAGTTACTTGTTCGGGCACAGGGGTGATGGTGGGAGGTGGGAGTGGAATTGAGTTTCTTGGCTAGACTTTGAAAGATGAACTGTTTGGATGAATTTTCGTTTTCCTTTGTGTGCCTCTGTTTTTTTTCGATTAAGGAAGGCGGTGGGGTGAGAGAAAGGTTGTTGTTGTTGGATTTATGACGATTGGTTATATGGTGGAGGTCAAGTGTGGGACTTAAAGCGTGAAGAAGTATGGAATAAGAGAAATAAGAAATAAATCCCAAGACTGAATAATTGTATAAGAGAAGAAGAGGCTGTAAAAAAAAGGATGAGGAGATGAGGTGAGGGATAATATACTCACCAAAAAAAAAAATCCAGAAATCTGGTGCTACGCCAAAAAAAGATTCGTATGAAAAGGGAAAGTATCATCGGAGGGGAAAGGAAAAAAACAAGCGGTGTTACTATTGAAGTTTCTGCAGAATGAAAATAAATTGTTTGTGAAGCCTCTGGAGATGCATCAACCATAGTATAAATTAATGATAACATAACATAAATAATTATCAGATTTTCTATTCTATTTACCTTTTTAAATCTATTTGTTATTTGACTATTTTATTATAGTTATTTTTTTTTTTTCATAAGACACCTAATACGTACGTACTGTGGTGTAGGGTACAGGGTGTGCGTACGTACGTATTTCGGTTATCAGTTATGAAATGTAAGATAATATTTATCTTGATTTCCATTCAACGAATGTGAATACAATTACACGTACACATGTGTTCAAGAGTTGGTTTGGTTTGGATGATTTTCTATATTAGGCGTCGTGGTTTGCGGGGGGATGCTGTTTCTCACGAGCCTTATTGGTTATTTAAAATTAATTTGTTCATTGATTCTTTCTTACTCACAGTTTGTCGGAATTCACCACAATTCCACTACTCACTGCCCACAGGCGGTACCGTGTGAATGGCTTGCTGGGCGGAAGCGAAGTTAGAATGTTGAGTATTCGGAATGTGCATAAAGAGGTATGTCATGCATTTGAAAATTGCCCCATGCGCGATTAATATTGCCTCATGAAAAGGGAACAATCGATGTTGACCATTGGATCCTGGGCAACTTTCTTACCATTGCGCGGAAAGATGCTGCGGTGACTCTCTCTGCTCTATACAGTATTTATTGCCTATTGTCTAAGATTAATAATAGATTATTGAGGGACAGGTGATATTAAAACATGATTCGAGGATAATAAGGAACAATTGAGGAGGACACAATACTAACACGGAAGCAAAGTGAATTCGGTTGTCCTTAATAATGATTGCAGTAGAAATGGGCGAAAAAGAATGTTTTGATGTGACATCTTAAAAATCCAGATTTGGGGGTTGCAGTAGAAATTATGTCATGTATTCTTCTTTACGATTTATTTGGTTATTTGGTCGATCTCTTACAACATTTTGACTTTGATCGAAAAAAGAAAAAGTTCAAGGAAAGGAAAAAAATTGCGGGGAAAGGGTCAGCGCACTAACGCAATCTGGTTGACTGGCGTTGTTTTGGTAAACAGTAAATAAATTTAACTCCTTTCCTTGACGCGAGTTGACTCGTACAATGTTTCTATTGTGCTTGGGTAAAGTAAACCATTATTCATTCGGATCACTTTTTTACCGAGAAATTAAAAATTAGAAATTCTCATTCGTGGCATTTTGGCTGTTTGTACGTGGTGGCGAAATTACATTTTTTCATTTAAAGGAAAAAAAAAAATTGTATGAGAGACAAGGTTGAGGTGTTACCATAGATAAGATTAGATGGTTTTGATAGGCCCTCCAGAAGTCAATGTAAACATCTTACCGATTTTGTCACATCAATTCCTATAACGGGGCTATAATGCGCACTCCTCTTGGCCTCTTCGGTGAATTCCCCGCTTGTGCGGTTCCCCCTTAAAGTCTCATATATCCATTTCACCAGGCGATGACGTTCTCCTTTGCTCATATATTTCACATTTCACCATCAGCGTCCACGTCCGTATGCGGAAACGCAGGGAAAATTTTTTTTCTTCATCAAGAAGTAACACAGGCAAAATTGTACCGAAGACATGACATTACGTGATGGCGCAAACAAAGCCTCAAATTGTTGATAAGATTAGATCTCTTTGTTGATATAACGGATGAACCAAAATGGAAGGCCGACATGCCCTTTGACGTTAGCGTACAGTGTTCAGCGGTTGCACATTGACAATGTAACAATAAACATTTGCCTAATTCGTCTCTTGATTGACACTGTTCTTGGTCATTGTCTCTCGTTGATTCTTACTATCCAAATAATTAAGCGTGTGCGAAAATGATGCTTAATGAGTGGATGAAAAATGAATTTCGTTTCATTACTGAATGCTCGGATGATCAATTTCCTATAAAAACGGTCGACCTTTTTTCACGCCTAATAATAATTTCAGTTGGGAACCCGTGCCTTTGCTCTTAAAAAGGTAGATGATGATCACCTAAGAGCTTTTCGATCTCTCATCCTGCATCCTGATAGGAAAATGCAACCTCACCTGAAAAATAATAATGCGATAATCGAATTTAGCATGAATCCCAATTTCATATTCTATACGTACACACATTTAATAAATGGCGTCATCTTTCGGTGCACGCATTCGCCCCTTTGATAATGATACGCTACAATTTTCATGCTCATACTATATGTAGCCACACCCAACTCGTCGCAAGCTTTGGAAGCTCGAGTTCGATCAATTTGCTTATTCGCAAGGTAATAATGATCCCTCCTATATGGGGCCTCATTGCGAATGATAGTCGAAAAAAGCTTAACACGTTGTGACTGACCGACTTTGTTCTCGCTGGGATGTTTGGATTATGTCTACATTTCGATATTCTTCTTTTCCCAAGGCAACTCCCAATTCCAAGTATTAAAAAAATTCTGGCTGCCAATTATGCGGGTTCAAATTCTATACATGGCCTCGATTGAAATTTTCAGCCTCGAACCTTCCTCCCTTTTTACCCACCCCCAAGAGTAGGGGAAATTCCGAATTGAGGTTAGTTTATTGAAATATACCGCCATTGTAATATATGCACGTACTTCTGGCTAAACACCTGGAAACGGAACGAAAGGATAATTTGTGCTAATCGATGGGTTGTTTGGTGGAGTCCCTATTTGTAAAATTGACTTGGTTTGTCGAAAAGCGCTGCACCCATTCTCTCTTTAATTCACAAAACTCACCGGAAGCATACGAGTCAAATTATGCAGAACCATCATCATCGTTCTTTTTCTCATTTCTTATTTTGGTTAACCATTTCGATGAGCTTCTCCGTGAAAACTTTGTTACACGAGATGGTTGTTTATGCGTCTTCTGTCTGATGTACAGTAACTCTCAACCAATTTTTCTCATTATATACTGTGCGGCGATCGTGTACAATGTTTGAAATTTTCTCATATGCAGTATTTAAATTTTTCTTATGAAAAATATATTATAAAATAAAATATTAAAAAAAAAAAAAAAAAATTTTTTTAAATATGTTAATACTTGAATAATTTCATATTTCTTTTTTTGTTAAGATGAATTATCTTTATTGAAATTAGAGATATGATATAATCTCTACTGCATATACAATACAGTATACAGTATGTGTGTGTGTGTAATATTCTTTTATTGATTTGTATTATTTATTGTATACACTGTATATACTATATTTGAAAGCTAAATAAATCAATGCCTGCAATATAACTAATACAATATACTGTATATTAATATTCGATCTTTCAATGATATGAAGAATTCAAATAAAAAATTCAATCCAATTTTTATTTTTCTTAATTATATAAATATTTTTAAAGTATTTTAATATTTACAAAATATAATAACTTGAATATAATATTAAATTGTTATGATTTGAACAAAAATTTAAATACATAATTCTTTAAAATAATTGTAAACTTATAATTAGACTTATAACAACTTTTTATTATTAATTGTTTTATTAATTTAAATTTGAAAAAAAATTTGTTTTTATTTATTTTAATTTTAATAAAAATTATAATTCTTTTGTTTTTGCTATATTGATGTAATAATATTATGACAAGTTAGTTGCTTTAATCTGCCTCATATCATATAATAATTAAAATAGTTTTTGCTTAAAAAATATATGTGAATTTAATCAAAATTTATAATATTAATATAAATCAATTTGTCAATCTTATATTTTAAATAGTTACTTTGCATACAATTACTTTATTAAATAAATAATACTAGAATCAAGTTACAAAGTAATAGTTTATCAAATAAAAATAGTTTTTATTTAATAGTTGCACAGTACCTATTCTGATTTCTTGATTTTTTAATTATTCACTAGTTACTTATATTTTTACTTTATATCTATTATATCTATTATACTTAATATATCACTTATATCTAATGTATATTTTGATATACTATTTATACTAATATACTTAATATATTATTTTTATAATTTTTTATTATCTATACATTACTTTTTTCTTGTAACAATATATTATATATATTATATTATTAAAAAATTTTAAAATATTAAAAAATTTCTTGAACTTTTTAAAACCTTATAAAATATATATTATAAATATTTTTTTTATTTTTTATTTATAAAATATAAAACTTTTTAAAAAAATTAATAAAAACCTATATATTAATAATATATATACTTATAAAATATTTATATAATAAAGAATAATGATTTAAAAAAAATTTATCTTTATAAAAATTCAAATTATATTTTTGTCTTTAAATTAATAAAATAATTATTTCTGTTAAACTTGTATTTTATTATTATTATTTTTTTAATTAAATATAATTTATAGTTTAAATTATTATAATATAATATAATTTTTATAAAAATAATATAATAATTGTTTTTAATTTTATATTTTATATAAAATTTTAAAATCTTTATTAAAAACTATTTTTTTTTCTATTTAAATATTATCAAATAATTATAAAAATTATTAAAAACAATTTAATAAATAAGGTTTTCAAATATAAAACTTTTATAAATAAATATTTATTTTTAAAAACTTGTTTTTTTTATTTTTATTTTTATTTTTTTTTATAGATAAACATCATTTCTTTATTTAATTTATATAATGATAGATATATATTGTGAAAGAAACAATATTTCTTATGTATAATAATACAACAAGTTAAATACTAACTTGTCTATAGTAACTACTAGATTAATATTGAAAAGAAATTTTAAAATAATATATTTTATCAAAAGACTCCAAACAGCTATAATTACCTACTCAACATTAGATAAAAGAAAATTAAGGTAATCGTTAATTAATTTGAAAATGCACTTGGTAAAATTGAATCCATTTTGGATATAATAGTTGATATTAAAATAGAGGGGTTATTGAAGGATTTGAATTTGGTCGGGATTCTGGTTACTTGTTTTGATACACTGCTATGAGAATTGTTATTCTATTTGATATCGGTAAGGGGAAAAGTGTTTGCTATAATACAGCGAGATATTCATATTGATTTATATAGATAAGTTAAAGTCTCAGTTGAGATTTTGATTCAATTAGAAAAATTAATTATGGAAAAGATATTATCAATAATGTCGCATGCCAGCTCTACTAGTTACCAGGCATGTGAGGTTGGCTTATAATCATTATTGAAATGAAAGATATTATTGATGGCATTAATAAGTTGATCAATATCTCCTAAAGCCGATAAACATTTGAAGACATGTTTAATGTCCTTAGTATATAGACTACATTGGAAACAATATGGATCAGAATATCATTCTGGATATAATTTATAAAGATTTTTTCTTGTAAGAAGAATTCCCGAGAACAATTTAATTCTAAAGGTGATAAAATTGCTATACTTGTTAGCTCTTGAGCTTTTGATTTTTTGGTTGAATTTGTTAATGATCTTGAGATCCTGAGGTTTATGGATATGTCCAAATGTTTTTAGAACTGAGGAGCTTTCACAGATTATGTAAGTCTTAGTAATATTTAGAATTTTCTTGCATTATTTGATACTGCTATCGAATTGAAGATTGTTAATTAGAGAACTTTCAAAGAAATAAAGTAATAGATTGATCTATTGAAGAGTATCATTGGACCTTGAACTGGATTTGGAATTGATATATCTGATTTGAATCAATTTGTCCTATATTAACTTGTTAATTCTTAGTATTATTGAAACAAAGTTAATTTTTGTTATTCTTTTCAGGTAGTTGGATACTTCTTGAAGAATTTTTTTGTTGCTTTTTATTTTTATGATGCAGTTGGATAGGCACCAGTATAAAATATTCATTATTATATAAAGAAAGTCTCCTAGTGAATATTCTGGATTGGCTGAAACAATTTTTGTATTGTTTATGAAGCTTTTGTTTTGGTAGAGTTGAAGATAGTACTGTTGATAAAAACCAATTCTTTGGAGTGCAGAGATAAAAAGAGAGATAGATAAGTTGTGATAAATTGAAAAATGTCTTCTCTTTGTTGTAATATAATTGACAGTTCACTAATTATGTTGCATAGTCAGTATTTGTTTGGACTGTTAGGATTTGAGACTATTTATAATAATGATGTTGTAGGACTTATAAAGGACAATGTACAAAAGCTAGCAGAAGATAATTCTAGTGGACAGCCATTGCATCTAAATAAAATATTGTTTGAATTGATAAAATAGTGTCTAGGGTTTCGAAAAAGTACTGAACTAGTATCGAAATAGTATCGAAATAGTACTGATCTATAATAAATTTAATATATAGGTTGTGACCTACTCATATGTTTTTATAGTAAATTTAAGTATCGAACTGGTATTGAAATAGTATTAAAGTGATATCATTAGGAGCCTTAATAGTATCTTCCTTTAAGATTTGTTTTTTTATTTATGCTGTAACTATTTATGCTATAACTTTTCTTGTATATCTTGATGATACAATTGAAGTTGTGTAAGTACCAAAATAATAGTTTAAAATTTGATACTGGATCATGAGTTTCAAAAAGATTGTTTGGATTGTTAAAATTTTTAAACCAATTGGGCTCAGGTTCACAGCATACTATTCCTGTGTGTAATAAGAGTTGAAGTCATGTAAGTTTTTCTGTACTGTTGTATTTTAAGAGTTGATTAATAAATTGAATGTTTGAAGTATTTGCTGTATTAATTGTCATAGTTTTGTTAGAGAAAGATAGACTTTTGAATAAGAAACCAATAGAGTTTTTAGCATTACTAAAAAGTGTTAAGTAATCAGTTAAACAGATGTGAATTTTAAGATTCTTTACAATTTTGGCTGTATATGTAATACAATTATTCTGGTTAAACTTCTTCAGATTGCAAATCAGACAGAATCAGATTGATTCATTTTTTTGAATCGATCATAGGTCTTGGTGAATATATTTTCTGGTTGTTGGCCTGGAGAGTTTGGATATTAGGTTGCCAATTAATAAGGATCTTTGTCATTCTTCAAAAGGAGTCATGTTGAGACTACTGTAGCTGATAAGAATTGCATTCAAACATCTGGATGTGATTTTATAGGCTGACTTAATAAGTTTGTTGATTTTAGATTGAAGTATATTAAGAGTGGACTTGTTAGGATATAACAGAAAAAGAAAGTATTTGAATTTGTCTATGATAACCCAGTCACAAATTTATTTTTTAATTTATCTTTCCAGTTGTGTTTGGAAAGTTCTTTTAAAATTGTATCCATGGTTTGGTTAAGAGCCTTTCTATTGGATCTGAGTAAGCTTCTGAGGGAGATAAGTACTCCCAGATATTTGATGCTTTCATAGGATTTAAGAACTTGAATTAGATGGTTATTGAATTTAATTAAGTTACTGAGGCCATGTTTGACTTTGATATTGAAGATAATTTTAGTTTTGTCTTTATTACAAGTAATATTGTTTATTGTAAAGAATTGATTAGTTATTGAGAAAAGGTTGTTTATTGATAGTTTGCTATAGGGCTCCTAACAATACCATTTTGATACCACTTCGATACCAATTCGATACTTAAATTTATTATAAAAACATATGAATAGGTTACAATCCATATATTAAATTTACTATAGATCGGTACCATTTCGATACTAGTTCGATACCAGTTTGATACTTTTTTGGAGCCCTAATTTGCTATCAGCAATAAGAGTTAGATTATCTATATATGCTAGGGCATTGGGAGCAATATAACTTCTAATGGACTTGTAGCTGGCTAATTTGAAGACAAAAGGATTATAAAATATTATTCAGATAATATGAGATAGTGTCTTTCCTTGTTCTACTCTATTGTTCAC